AAGCGTTACGATTTGCACCTAGCCCACCCAGAAATAATATCGATCACCATGGAGGAGCACGTGCATATCATGCTGCGCCCCCCCCAGCCTATTCCTGAGACAATTCATCAGCCTCTGCCCTGTTAGTGCCTCCTTAAGCACAACAATGTCCCCTTTAATTTACACCAGATACCTTGAGAGGACCACGGAAAATGTAAAAGTATAGCATGAGTATTTCCAAAAGGGAAAAGCCAACCAATATACGAAATTTGAAAAACTTTCACTTAAGGCCTGTGTTAGAGGCTGCACCACATGTGCAGTTTTCCTAAGAATACAAGCCCTACATGTTTTTAATAAAAGAATGTGTCAGAGATGTCATGCCCATACAGCACTTACACAGAGTTAGGCTGCATGATACTGTGGGAGGTCTTGCAGACTCATAGGCACAAATTAACCTTAGTCCCTAAGCTGTGTGGTTTTGCCATGGAGACCATAACGTATTCATTGTTGTCGGTCTGGAATAAGGGAACATCAGTTTACAATAGACATTTAGTAAGTATTTTGCTTCTGCTGAATTTTGAATAGAGTAATGAGAAGCCAGTATCGTGTGGAACACCTGAGGTGCCATCACTAAATTGCAGCGTAAAACCATGTCTCAGAGAAAGTGGTAACTGACAATTGTTTGACACTTCTCTACAGGATATATTACAAATAATTGTACTGCCTGGCCAAATTCCAGCTCAAGAGATTTTTTTTCTTCTCCTAAATTCCTCTATCACTTTTACATGGAGACATAGCCAGCCAGGGTCCCAGACCTTCTAGCTTGTGCCTTCTGCAAATATTAAATATATATGAATTAAAAATACACCAATTTTTAAGGGCACCATTCCATTACCACTGTTTACTGTACATAACCCTGTGTTGTCTTCAGGAGCTTTGTTTGCCTCATTTAGACGTTTCAGTTGCTATGAGGTTTCTGAGCACTCAGAGATTTCAAATCAGAGCTCAGGCTTCTCACAGCCCTCTGGAGTCTTGTAACTTGCAGAGCAACTATTGCAACATATCTTAATATTTAAATAGTGATTCATTGCTGGCTGCCTCATGGAACAAGCTTATCAGTGCATGACTGCAAACTGAACTGTCCCTGTTTCCTTTAGAGCCCACCTCACCTCCTCGAAGAACACAAATTATACCAAAATACACAGTGTCCTGGCTGTTTAATCCATGCCTCTAAGTAACGCATGCTGCATCATTAATATGCACCCTATGTCACTGCCCCAAAGCATGAGTGCTGGACATAATGCTCTACAAAAAGCACGTACAGGCTTGAGTCATTCCGAACAAAAACTCCACATTCATATCAGCAGGATGGGAGAAACTGGCACAGCCAAAACGAAATGGTACAAAAGGAAGACTTCCCACTTCCCCTCCAGGGTAAGACACTGTACAATGAAAGGAACCACGTGAATTCTCTATTCATACACTTAACTTTTACTAAACATAAAAAGATTCATCAAGAATGAGTTAAAGCACAGAGTCACTGTACCAGCTTCCCTAAAGCGCTTTGCCTGGAATCTCCCCAAGAACTGCTGTTCCTCGTGCTAACGAAATGCAGTTCAGGCCTGAACACTGTCAATGCTTTGTATTTCTGCTTGTTCTTCTTCCCACATGCTTATAGTAAGACCTCCAGGAGATACCAATAGAGAGGAAAAATTGCTCTTTAGTCATTAGATTAACCTACATGCTCTTCAGTGTGCAAATCTAGCAGTCCCCTGGGCTACACTGGGTATCCCAGGGGTATCAAAAGGGACACACACACGGATGAAACCCAGAATTTTAAAAGCAGGAATTAATTTTTCTTTTTAAGACTAGAGCATCTAAAAATGGTTCAAGTTCCGCTGAAGCTTAGCTGGCTTTTACTCTGAGCAAAAAGCTAGGGCTTTTTCAAATATCGGTACCACTTCATATTGCAGGTCAGCGCCCAATAATACCAGAAAACATGGCTGCAAGTGCATGAAATACCATCTAAACCCAGAGGACTGAATTCAACACTCTCTCCACAAATAATCCTGCAGTAGATTCACAGGAGTCAGTGCTGGAGTAGAAGTTTTAGGTCTCATTCTTGTGCAGCCTGCTCTAGCTAGCGCAAAATTTCTCATCACAGTTATCTCACACTGGTTTTGCAAATCAGGTTCTACATCTCTCCAGCAAAATCCTTCTCCAAACTCTAAGACAGCTGATAGTCTGATCTTTTCTTATGGTGTTCTAAAACACTTTCTCTGAAGTTCCAAGTGACAAGGTGACTCTTAGTCTGTGTGTAAAAACCAAAGTCATCACGACAGACTGTGAGCCAGACAGCTGTTATACTTTCTACAAACGCACTGAAGGACTCGCTCTCAGTACTCCAGGTCACTGAGATCATGTTTGAGGCATATGATTAATTTTCAGCCCTTGTGTGTTAAAGGGCAGCAAGGGAAAAACGAAAAAGAATTTCTTTAGAACAGTGTTAAATGAGGCAGAAGAGCTTGTCACTTAACAAGAGCTTTTAAACTATCTTTGCATAAGGTAACATCTAGAAGGTTAACAGGCATGAATAGCATTTTATTGATTTGAGGCATTCCAAAGGGTCTTACTGCACTGATTGTAGATGAATGCAGGGGAAGGATTTTGCATGTGATTATCAAGCTTTAGCTGGCGATGTTTGAAGCATTTATTAAAAAAAAAAAAAAGCAGAAAAAAGAAAATGCCAAAGAAAGGCTGTCACTTAGCCTGAAAACTGAGCCTGTCTTGGGACTCAAATGAGTGTCTTAGCCCACAGAAAATTTTATTTTATCCATTTATTTGGCCATATCATCTAGCCACCTAGCCTAGAAGGAAAGCACATGAGAGACTCCCAGGAGTAACCTGTTATGTGTAACGTGCAAAGAGTTATGTTTTCATTCAGAAATTCTCACACCAATGAGTTCTTGGAGTGGGGAAAGAAGTTCAGCTGATTAAAAAAATGTTTTGCAATATTTGATTTTCCCCTTGGAAGGAAATTATGCTTACTTCAACTCTGCTCCCATGAAAGCTCTGTTTGTCATAAGCAGATATCAAAGCTAAAAATAAAGCCTCCACTGTAAATCATTTTACTTTTCAATATTTGCTCATTAAATACAAGAATATCCCAAAGAAGAACACAGAAAATCCAAATACCATCTGACAGTAACTAGAGACCTCTCCAGATTTCAAGTACCCTGGACAAGGGACTTCTTCCCTACATCCAGACTTTAATTTTAGCACCATTTCTCTCTGTCTACTACAAAAAAATCTGCAGGTTGCAGTGTCCAGGTCCTCTCTTCTACTCCAGGGTTGTAGACTCGGCTACACTTTGTAGCCAAGTCACAAAAACCTGCTTGTGTTAGAATTTCACAGGGTAGGACGTGTCCTCCTGCATCACAGAGGCACTTTGGGAATTCGTATATCCCAGTGGTTTGTACACAGTCATTTCAACATCACAGCCTTTTTAAAAAAAATCTGCTGTTATTTGTCTGCTTGCCTTTCCCTTTCCTCCAGCTCAAAATTACTTCAATCAATATTGATATTAATACACATTTCGACACAAGAATGTAATAAATGGCTCACTGAAACAATGCCTGTAAATTCAGCCAGTTGCTGTGCTAATCATGTTCCTACCATACTCCAGGGGCGTTATCTACAAACAAGCTTTTAGTTACATGATCAGAACATGCTCCAGTCCACATCCAGCTTACTGGATGGGTTTTTGGTTGTCAACCATTTGCAGAAGAAAGCACTGAAGTCACTTCTAGAGGACAAACCGCAGGGGAGAATGAACCTCCTATGAAGCTTACCACTGCATCTGCTGAACAGAGCGCAGCAACATTTGCATTACAACATCTGGTGCCTGACTGGAATTCAGACTCCTGATACGTTGTGCTGTGATACGAGGGAGTCACGAGGGATGGGGCAGTCAGTCAGAATTAAGAGGCTCAATCATCTCAGATGCAATATATGGATTGTATCAGGCCAAACTGTACATCAGACTTCAAAATCCCAATTACCTGCACTACAACATAGGACTGAGTGAGCCAGTGCTGTCAATCACATGCCTGAGTCCCAAAGCCGTTTCAGTACCGTCTGTTCCACTATGTACATATGCACAGCCATCCCTAGTGCGCTGGTGAGAAGCCCCACAAGACAAGGCATATAGGAAGTCTTTACAGAAGGACAGTGTTAAAGCTTAAGTATAAAACTGCTGCAGAAAGCTTTTGCAATATGCAAAGTAAAAACACAAACAGCAAATAAGCACTCAACAGAGTAGCAGTTTCTGTCATGTGGAATCTAAAGAAGCTAAACCAACATGAGTTTCCATCTGCATAAAACAGATTATTTCATCTCTGATTCTACTGGTATTATTTAACATACAAACTACAATTGTTAATGAAAAGATTGCTGGGTAGAATCCAGTACAGAGGTTTGAACACTTTTCAGCTGGTCTCACATTCCTGAGAATTCGCCCTTTAGTGAATTCAGATTTGAATGAATCCAAAATTTCTGAATGTACGGATGGGAAGGAAACTGCTTGGTTTTGAAATGGAATGGTAAATCAGTCCTCATTTGCAGACGCATACAAGGGGAACTGAAGGTATATGAACCTGGTCACAAGTAGCCACATGGTTTTAGGTTTGTTAGAGCTCATCTGCACAGACAGGGAGGTGCTAGATGAATGAGGGTGGGAATTTAAAATACTCACCAGCTGCCTTAACTGACACATCTGTTCTGCAACAAGAGCGCCTTTCTTTGGTTTAGCTTAACTCTTTGCCAAAGCGGTGGTGTAATTTACAGGTCGTCTTTACAGTGAAAGCACTGTGTGAATTGTTGTTTATATGGTGGATTTCTAAACTTTCCTGTCTGACCCGGACACCGATTTTGCTGCTCACTCAGGGAACTTGAATGGGCTTTTGGTGCCATTGCACTCGTCTGAAGGAGGGGCTTCTCTTTTTTTCTTTTTTTCCTACTAGCTATGGTGACATGGTGCCCAAGACAATTGCTGGGAAGATATTTGGCTCCATTTGCTCCCTGAGCGGGGTGCTGGTCATTGCTCTGCCGGTTCCAGTCATTGTTTCCAACTTCAGCCGTATTTACCACCAGAACCAGAGAGCAGACAAGCGGAGAGCTCAGAAGGTAAGCCAGCCCCGTGCAGTGCCACCGCACTGCCTCCTCTCCCAAAAGCTCAGCCACTGCAGGGCTCATGACACCATGAGCAGTTCCCATTCTGAGCCTCTTCCCAGAGGGTGGCCTACCTTCACCTCTCCAGGTACCTGCATCTGCGCAGATTAACACTTACACACAGTTAACTCCTTGCACCCATACAGACACCAGCTAGCGCACTGGCAGTATCCTAGGTACTGTTATATCTTAAGTGTCAGAAGCAATGGGGCTTTTACTGCTTGCCTTTATTACACACCAGACCAAAATAAACAAACAACTATGTACCCTTATATCATTACCAGAATCATTTACTTTTCTGGCTGCATGGTTCCTCTGTCATCTTGCTGCCCTAAAGTTTTGAAAACACCTGTCTAGACACAAATGCTTATGCACACATACCCCCCTCAAAGCTGTTGACTATAATATAGACAAAATACTGAGAACATGCAACAGCCTCTGGAAATTTCAAAGGATTGTTGAATATTCCAAAATCTGAACAGTTTTCACATGTGTGTGTGTATATGTATGTACATGCATATACATATATATACACACACACACGAGGAACAACTATAATGAGTAGAATTTCTTTTGCATTACCAAGCAAAGAGCAACATATTAATAAAAACAAGCTTTACTAATGCATAAGGAAAAGGCACAATACATAGCAATTAATAAAATGTAGGCAGAACAGTAGGTAAAACACACAAACATGCACATGCTCCAGCAGCAGACTTACAATCAGAGATAATTTTAGAGAAGATCTGATTTTGTATGGAGCTTCTAATATTCAAGGGATGTCTAAGTAATATAAAAATCACTGCTATGTGAAAAGACGGATAGGAAGCTATGGCTGGATTTTTGCAGATTGGAAGGAACCGATTAAGAAATTCAGTAGTAACTAGATGTCTCATCCCTCTCAAATTCCTCGTCCTACTTATTCCAAACTCCAGATCATGACAAGGACATATTGGAAGTTTGGAAAGTTCACTTCTGTAAGGCTGCCCTAAATCCTTTTTGTCAAAAGGTCACCAGCTGTTCCATCATACTATCTACCTTCTCTCATGTGCAAAGAAATATACTGTGAATTTGTAAAGCTACCTTCTGTGTTGCACCTGCTGTGCTCCTCACTTTCCAGTCTCCAGCTGTGTCAGTCCTCTATCTTTCACCAGTGCTTACAATCACTTTTAAATACGAAAACCCTTTGAACAATTCAAAAACAGACAGCGCTCTCCACTAGAATGTTAGTTACAGAAATGTAATCCGATGGGTAATGAGCAGGACTGTACTATAAGCATTATAGCAGCATTACATTTCTTCCGTGTTAATACCTAATTTAACATTGGTTCACTAGAAGACAGACGTGCTCTTCATCCTATCTACATTTAGCAACTTAAATTTCAAACTTTGGAGCACAATAGAACACGCAACAAAACTTTAGCCAATTAACAACCGACTTCTTAGTGCAGTGAACTTGTAAGTCACTGCAATAACTTCTAAGGAACTGTAAGCACAATTCACTCATTGCTAATCTGTAACATCTCTCGCACCTTCAAACATATAATTTAAGAAAAACAAATCAACAGAAAAAAAACCCCAACTGCCTTCACTTAAAACAATATTTCAAATTACATATTAAGTAAAAGGAAGTGTTTTAAAAGAGAAATACGCACTTAGAAGTCTGCTTTAGAAGGGGCCAGTGCACGATAATCCATTTATATAACTGAAGATTTTGAGGGGATGTACATTTCTATTGAAATGGTGCATAAACACAAGAGAAAGAACCTGCTTTACAGAGTAGTCTAAGAAGGAAAAAAAATACAGAAGAGAAATACAAACAAGATTTGTGCACAACCATGGACTGAGATGCAAAGAAACTCCAGAACTGAACCCACATGTGTGCCTTAAGAGACTATCCTGTCCTGGCAGCCAGCGGTCTGAAGCTTCTTGTTGTGATTCACTTTTACCTTCATTTCTTGGACTATGATCCACTTGGTGACAAGGAAATATACCACCATCCTTGATGCTAATGTGATTGACTGCAGCTTTTATACGGTTTGCTGTACTGACACAGCAATGTATAATTCCTCCCCTCCCCCTCCCTCCCATTTGAATTTCTAATTCCCTTGATATGGGATGAATTTCTGGGCTAAGAAAGTTTTCTCAAGTCAGAAGCGTGAGTAATTCTCACATGCTCATCACTGCATGAATACTAAACAGAACGAGAGAGAGAGACAGAGAGACAGAGAAAGAGAAAGAGAGAAGTACATTAACGACAGTCTCTCTGGAGATGGCCGGGGACGTACAAATCTACTCTGAATGACGTCCTTGTTCCAGCACCACACTCCAGTCAATTGAATTCCTTCTTCAGGAATAGGATAAATCCTAGTAATAGTTAAAGCTTTCCCCAACCAAATTGAAGATACAGAGACGTCTGCACTGGTCTTTCAAGAATGCGGGATAAAGCTTTTCGCACTGTCCTAGTCCTTGAATATCTAGAAGAGTCCACCAGTATCAGGTCCTCATAGGCAGAGTTTAGAAGACACAGCTTCGTTGAAATAACACAAATGTCTTTCCAGAGTTTCTAGTGTGCTAAATAAATTCTTTTCCTCTTTTAATTGAAGAGTAAATTTTTAGTGTGTGCATTATTATCAATGTTTTAAAAGAAATTCAGTTTATTTCAAGAATCATAACTATTATAAAATATAGTAGGTTTGAAGGGCAGAATCTAGACTATATTTATCTTTTCTTTATGAACTCATGCTGAAATTGTCCAATGAGAAATAATAAAGACAAAAATAACGTAAGAGTGTTAAACTGTCTGGACTTGACACTCAAAAGATGTAAAGGGAAGGGAAGGAAAGTCAGTAAACCTGGACTCTCCAGCTTGGTATGAATTTCTTAGCGGCTCCATTTCTTCAGAAAATAGGAAAACACTGCATAGCTCTGATTCCTCTGTGTTATTATATGCTCACCCTCAACTTTTTCTCACTGTTAAGGAGGCACTGGCTTAGGAGGGAAAGGTGTTTAAATAGCATAAATAAAATACTGGGAGGTGTGCCAACCAGCACCTATTCTTTCAACTGAGGAAAACGTTCTTTAAAATGGAAAAAAAAAACTACCAGTGATTTAATCCCCTTGAAGATAAATTATTCTTCTTCAAACCTGCATTGCAAGAGAATTAATTACAAGGAGATCTGGCAATCTTAATTTATTGCGCTGTGTCATCAAGTTTTGTCCTCTGGCATGCAGCAAGGACCAGGTCAATCTGAATGGAAGATGAATTGATCATTTCTGACAAGATTCATTTTGGTAAAGTTGTTTTTTTCCCAAAGATTTTTTTTTTCTTTTTGAGTGATGTGCAAAGAAGTGACCTTCCTGACATTGAAACGATGCTGCTCTTGAGTGAATGTCACAGCCTTTGGTTTTAAACAGAATGTGACACTTAAAAGGCTTGACAGTAGAATGACTCTCTAATTCAGACATGTGCTGGAGTCTCTCTCTTGCTGTACTCAGTTTGCAGTGTAGGTGCAACGTGAGGAAGAGGGAGAAAAGTATCTGACGCTGTCTCTGAGGCAGCAAGGATGCAGCCTGCCAGTGTTTTACCCCTCACTTTTCAGCCCTAGAAAGAGAAAGCAGAGGCAGCTAGTAATAAGTTTTGAACATGCTGCTCCTTTAAAAGCAGCAGAAAGAGTAAAATTAGTATACTGCTTGAAAGTTAGATTCTGTGTGAATACAACACCAAGCTACCACGTTATTCCTACCTGAGTAGGGTAGGAGAGAAATACATGGCCGAAAGATTGTCAGATAATAGGGTAGTGAAAAGAATAGACACAGTCTCTGACCTCAATGCAATAAACATCCGAGGAGTGCAGATTGCTTTCTCAAGGTTTCCTGGAATGTTGCAGACCTCTCAACTCTGTCAGACTGGTCAAAACTCCTGTCGAGTATTTCAAACAATAACAAAACAATGAAGAAACAGGGGAGGAGAAAAATATTAGACCTCTTAGTAGAACTATTTCTAGTCAGGTGTTTTTCAAAGTGTTATAGGATGCTTTCTTTGTCCTTAATCTCCCAGCTACACTGACACTTGTCTTTGTACTACTTGGACTGTCCAGCTTTAAAAATAACCAGCCCAGGTGCCTCAGCTGGAAAGATTTTGCTAAGGGCAGCAAAGTTCATTTATTCCGTTGGTCTTTTTACTACTGGAATAATGCTTCAAAAAAAGGACAACTATAGGCCCTTTAGTGGTGCAAAGCTACTGGAGAGAGTTGGAGGAGAAGATTCTGCCAGTAAGTGAGATGGGCTATGTGCACATCAAATGTAAAAAATTGTCTGTGTGCATTAAACTGAACGGATACAGCGTGGAGTAAATACAGGAGGCCCCTCTTGCTGCAAGGTAATGGTGCTAGCAGATGTCATGTTAATGAAAAAGAATTAAAAGGCTTTGTGCTTTAAAATGTTTTGAAAAGAGCTGATTAATTCTGCACAGGCCTCTCCTCCCTTTTATGAGCAAAGATCTTCCCAAGCTGCTGCAGTATGGTCCAACTAATTATGGCAGTAATGATCCCGTTGGCTCCAACATGATATGCCCAGGGGAAGAGGTGTTGGCAATAAACTGTACCAGGAACTCTCAGAAATGTGAGTTTGCTCAGGTGCATCCATGACTGCAAAATACTAAGTGCACTAGCAGCTTTTTGGTCACAAAAAAAGTACAGTAGGACAGAAAAAATACCGTGCAACACCTAAATAGAGCAGTAATGATTAACCCTATTTTGTCATTAGCCACGCCTTCCTACAAACATGAATGTATGTGCAGATGAAGATGCTGAAGTCCTCAAAAGCATATTTAAAGCAGTTTTGAACATCCTTGGAAGGCATTTGGAAGTAGAGCAGTAGCAGGAACGCCTGGAAATATCAACAACAGCCTAAAGCAAAATGGCCTCTAGAACAGTCTCTTTACAGCTAAAATT